AAATTATAAAAATAAAATTATGAAAATATAAGCAAAAATTATATATATATATATATATAAACAATGATAAAATGGCAAAACAATTTTAATAATTAAATTACTAAAACTTAACATTAAACAGGAAACTTCTCATTTTCATTTAATTTAACTTTGAATTAAATAAATCAATTATGAAAATAAAAACAATAGAGACAGAAAAAAACGAATAAAAATGGCAAACTAAATTACTAAAATTAAAAAGGAAACATAATTTCTCATTTTCATTTAGTTTAACTTGATGTACTAAAATAAAATAATAAATACAATTCTAAAAATAAAAAGTAAAAACAATATAGACACATTAGAAAAAAAACAATAACTAATAAAAATAGCAAAAACAAACTAAATTACTAAAACGTTCATTCTTTGTATTTATTTTACAAAGCAACATTTCCTATTTTCATTTAGTTGAACTATATACATATACTACTAAAAATGGCAAAAAGAGCACAAACTAAATGACTAAAAATGAACCTAAAATGAGAAAGGAAAAAAGCGCTCCTAGGCGCGGTCAGCGCTGTGTTACCCAGCGGTCGGTGTGTCTCCCTCCAGCGTGGACGCAGTGTTGGAGCCGTTGGTCAGCGTTCCCTGCGCCGGCATGACCAGAGACAGCATGACGCTGGTCTTACTGGTGCTCTGATGGTTCGAGTACGGCACAGACACCGGGTAGATCCGTCCTCCTGCACACACACATCAATGCTAATTATGATGCAGAATATAAACTCGGACTGGACGAGACGCGCTCAGAGTCTGTGTGATGATGCTGATTAAAACACACACTGATTGTGTATTAATGCACTGGTTTTGAAAGCCTACACTATTATAATACGTGTAGGAGGAATCGTTCATGCATATGGTTATTATTTTGTAAATGTAACTATTAAAATACAGTTAACCATGGTTAAGATTTGTCGACCAATATAGATTTTCTGATGCCGATGTCAATGGCAATATCATAAGGAGCCGATTTATATGATATCACACTATTTACAAATAATAAAATAAGATATGCTGCAAATAAATGGATAATTATTTGACATAAAATGTACCAAATTTGAAAATGAATAAATATGAAAAACGAATGTGATCTTATTAAAAAAGCACCGTCTCCCTCATCTAACACACCCGATTAAACTCATCAGCTCATTAGTAGAGACTTCAAGACCGGAAGTGGGTCAGAAAAGATAAAGAGCACATAAACACACACACAATGCGTGTCAGATCCGCGCCACGCTCAGCAGCGGCAGCTCTTAAAGTAATAGCAGCAAATAACCTAATAACCAGCTGCTGTGATGTCTATTAATCAAAGATCAAAAGAAAAAAGAGGAAATCAATAACTTCTGTAGCTTTAAGGATTCATCTATATTTAATTTAGTGTTTGATACTTAATTATTCAATCTCGGTGTGTTTCCTACTTGCTGAAGGCCACAGGTAAATATGACATTTATTATAATGCGTTTATGTGAAGATTGTTTTAAGTTCACTTAAAACAGAAGTTGTTGTTTTTTAAAGTCTAATAAATGTCAATAAAAATGGATAGCTCTCAATTATACTGTAATGTTAGTACAGTCAACATTACAAATAATCAATGGTTAAATATTAGGAAAAATAGTAATTTCCTAGAGACATCAGCAGTACCGGTATCAGCGATTCTCACATTCAGCCACAAAAAAAAGAATCCATTAAACAAATATTACAAATATACTATCTTTATGCGGTTTCTACATTAATTTAGACATTGAATGTGAAATGACTGCAATATAAAAGTATATTTAAAATCTTTAATGGTAGGTGGGATTAACCGCGATTCATTTTAGAAAAAATGTGATTGATTAGTTAAATTTTTTTAAATCGATTGACAGCACTAATGCATATATATATATAAAAGAAACCCTAAATCTAATGTGACAGTCTAAGATCTTATTGTTTACTAAAGCAATAATCCCCGTGAAGCCGTGGTTTACAGTAAATTATAACAGCTAAATGCTAATTACTGCTTTTATAAAACGGTTATTGCATATACGTAGTAAGGTTTCACAAAATAAAACAGAGCAAATAAAGTGTAGTGATATTAATAAACACAGTATTCTTCCACCAAACAATGTAGCTCCTCAGAAACAGTTGTGGTTGCTACAAAGTGGTTGCCGAGCAACACACAAACGTAAACAAAGGTGTGTGTTACTTTGTAGAGAACGGCTTCGAACGCGGCTCAGCCAATCAGAATCAAGGACTTTCATTAACCTGTGTGTACTGTGGTTTATAAAGCAGGTGGTTGTGGTTCTGGCTTGTGATTGGTCGAGCCCACAGCTGCGTCTCACCTTGTGTGGGTGTGAGCGAGCCGTCTGCGAGTGTGTAGTTAACGACTCTGATCAGAAGCGTCATGTCTTCATGTCTGGCGCAGTGTGGCGCCCTCTGTCTGCCGCTCACGTATGAGTCGTGATGCAGACGCTTGACGCGCTCCACCACCGACTGCGCAGCCGCCTCCAGACTGCTCTGCTGCGCCAGCTCCGCCGCTACCATGGCAACGATCTCCTGCCGGGGAACATGGGAAATGTAGTCCACAGATATTGAAACAATGCTGCAGGACGGATGTGACTAGAATATTCAGCAACCGAAATTATTGTATAAGTGAAAAGACCGAATAAATTGTACTGAACAATTACGTGACGCGATCAAATAGAGGAACGCACTAATGCAGCAAACACGAATGCAGTGTGGAAGAAATCATAAGCACCGACAGCGAGAGACTGTTTAGTACTGCACTGCATGATGTCTCCGATGAGAAGAAGAAGGGGGTTTGGTTGTTGCTGGTTACTGTATGATGATTGAAATCACCAAATGGCCTTAAACAGTTAGTAAATAAACGGAAGAACGTTATTTTTTCTTATGCACGCATGAACTGCATGTATTCTGAACTCGCGGTGCGCCAGAGTCCAAAGCGCGAGGAAAATCTGCGCTGAAACAGTGTTAATCGTCAGTTGCTCAGTAATTAATTTTTTTCTCCTTGTTTAACTGAAGAAAGTTCTGGCAGATCCAACTGTTAATTTCATCAATGCATTGGCAGAGGGAGTCAATGGGGCTGTAGTCATTTGGAGATAAGGCTAGGTACATCTGGGTTTCATCAGCATAGCTGTGATAGGTGATTTGGTTCTCTCGTTAATTGACTTCGTGGGAGCATATACAGGC